GAGAGGGCGAAGGGGCGGAAAAGGGCGCGGGGCGGGGTCGAGAGGTTCTTCCCTAGTGGCTACACGGCACAAGGTTTTTGGAACAGCGGAATATAACGCCTCCTCCCCCCCCCCTCCGCGGCCTGAGTGGGCCGCCCGGGCCAGCAGGGGGCGTCGTTAGGGGGCCGGGGGCCCCCACGTCGATGAGAGAAGGAAGGAGAAGAGGGCGGAGGGAGGACAGGGCAGACGACAGCCCTGTATGCGTTGCCATGCGTGTGAGAATTTCATTTTGGCGTGCGAACCTGCGCGCGGCTCGAAAGCGATTGGGCGCAACTGCTTCTTCGCCCGCGTGCGTGCGCACAGCAGGCGTATGCGCGGCGCCGCGGACGTAGCGTCAAAAGATTGAGCTCGCGCACAAGAAAGGAGTTGCAGTTTTTGTGGGATCACCGCCGCGATATTTTCAAGCGGCTGGAAGCGCGGCCGGCAGCGTCCGTGGCGAAGTAAACGCAGGTCGCGTTCGAAGCGGGAAGGTCCGAACTTTTCGAAACGAAGCGTAGCGCAAGGAGCCTTTTTGACCGGATTCTGCATGGGGGCGGGTGGCGTGGCGGGACGAGAAGTACATCTTGACGCTGGAAGATTGCGAAATGAAGCGCGCGCGACCGAGGTCTGTCGACGTGGCGTGGACGCGAGAAGAACGCGGAGCGCGTGAATTTTGCCACGGGTCGAATTTGCACAGGTAGTTGAGAGATCGGCCGTGGCCGCCGAGACTCGCACATATTAGCCACCAGTGGCACTAAGTGCAGGTGCAATTCAGAGCTGAAATCTGCAGCGGTGCAGTTGTATGTCGATGGCAGATCAAACATGTCGTGGATGGTTTGCCTGCGCGGTGCGTCCCGTGACCCCCCTGGTTTTTGTTTTCTCAAACCGTCTCCCTGCGGTTGCGCCATAGGTTGCGCCCTCGGCGGCCGAGAATACTGCCGTCTCCTGCCAGTTGCGCCATAGGTTGCGGCCTCGGCGGCCGAGAATCAAGCCGTCGCGTAACGGGTGCGCCATGCGTTGCGCCCTCGGCGGCCGGGAATAAGCCGTCGCGTAACTGGTGCGACCAGTGCGTTTAGTTCAGTTCCGTTCCGCTCCGCCCAGTTCATTTTAGTCAGTTTACCTCGCGAGAAACTGATCCGAAAGGGGGTCGGTATAGGTGAGGGAGGTCGCGGAGTTGCTAGCAAAGTGGTCGTTCAATTTGCAGGGTTTGAGGAAGTGTTTGAGAAAAGGGGCGGGTCAAGTCGAATGGTGGGTGACTGGTCGACATAGGTGTTGCGAAATCCGACGGAGTTGGGGGAACGTTCGAGAAAGCGGTTGCTCAGTTTCAAGTGGCGTGGGAAGTAGTTGGGAACGTGGTTTCTCAAATAGAAGAGAGGGTTGAGGAAGTGGTCGGGGGCGCGGCTGATCAAGTTGAAGGGTTCCAGAAGACGATTGAATAGTTGGTCGTTGGACTTGGAATGGTTGAGGATGCGGTTGCGGAACTGCTTCGCCAATATGAAAAGGCTGAGGATGTGGTTGTTCAGGTGGTCGCTGGGTCTGGAATGGTTGAGTCAGCCCAGAAGCCCACGAATGACCACGCTGCCGCACATAGGATCTTGCGAGGAACAAAGAGGCCTCACTCGAGCCGCGTAGCTCGCCCTCGTCTTCTTCCTCGCTCGATCCGCACAGTTCGGTCGCAGTTTCGCAAGTGGCCTGCGAGGGGAACCGGTCCTCCGCTCCCGCAGCGGCGCCGCCGCCACTGTTGCCGCCGCCGTCGCCGCTGCTGTCGTCGTCGCCGTCGTCGTCGCGGCCTTTTGGCATCGCGCCCCGCGCGGCGCCGAGCTGCGCGTCGACGGCGGTAGCGCGCGATTGCACGGCAATGGGCCTGAAAAGAAAGGGCTCTCGATTTAGGGGAACAAGAGGCGGCCGCAGAGCGAGCTGCGAGACGCCGCGATTGAGCGGTTGCGCGAAAGCCGCCAGCCGCCAGCTATGGCCCCAGATGCAGCCCGAAAAGTTGGCGCGCGCGCGCATGCAGCGCGCGTGGAAGTGCGCGCGGCGCCGGGGCGCGCTGCGCAGTGGGCCCGCCGCGCAGAGGTCACGGCGGCGTCGGGCGCGCGGCCTGCTCAGGCCTCGATTGCCGCGCGCGTTCGCTTCAATCACTAAATTCCAAATTCTTTACCCCGTAGCCCCTACTTCGCAAACCCCATCAACCTCGTAACCTTATAACTCCTTCCCATAACGTCGACCGCCTTCGCGCCCGAGACGGAACTCAGCATCGGCACCTCCCGCGCGCCGCGCGATTGGGCGCCTGATCTCGGCAGCGCCCAGCAGTTCGCGGGGGGCCCTGGCAATTCCCGGCAGATCCTTGGGCGAGAGACGGGCTCGCGCCAAGGCCTCCTACCCCCTGCAGGGGGCGCGATCGCATCTCAACCGCCGTTCAACCGAATCCCGTTTACCAGTCGTTCTGCAACTTTTCTTTGTCAACCGCTGTTCAACAATTTCCCAGCCCCCTGCCGCTCCAAGGAATAGTCGCAACCGTTCAACCTACAGCCGGTGTTCAATCGTCCATGCAGTTTTGGGTAAGCGTGGCAACCGTCTTGCGACCTTTGTCCACTTTCTGGCAGTGCCTGGCAGTTCCCGGCAGCAGTTCCCAGCAGCGCCCAGCAGTCCCGAGCAGCAGATTTCGGCAGCAGCCCCCGTCATCAGCCCCCAGCAGTTCCAGAATTTTGCCAAGTGTCCTCCGCCCCCCCCCCCCCCCCGCCCCCACCCCATGTGCACCCGGAAATTTGCAAACCCTTTCCTTTTTCCCCATCCAGAATTTGGCAAAATCCCCCGAGCCTTATTGCACGCCTTTCGCATGGCCGAGCGTCAGTGTCCATAAGTTTGCGACGTGCCCCCCCGCGGCCTTCTGGAGATTTGCAGAGGCTCCCCCACTTCTGGAATGTGTAACCTCCCGCCAACCATCAAGAAGTGTTCAAAGCCCCCCCCTGTCCAAAAATTTGCCATGTTGCCCCCGTCCAGAATTTTGCAAAATGCCCCAAACCCCATTCACAATTTTGCAGGGCACCCCGGACCCAATTGCATTCCCACCGCCTAACGCTTGGCGAGGATCAAGAGTTCTGTAAAACCCCCAGCCACCCATCCACTGTTTTGTTTTGCAAAACCCCCCCCGTCCAGAATCTTGCAAAGTCCCCCACCCTCCAACTTCCATGGCGCGCCTGCCACCTGCGGCGCGGCGCGGACCTAGAATATGTTCGAAAACACCCCCCAAATCTTTCCGGAAATCCGCAGAGTCCCCCACCCAACATCCAGAATTCGGCCCACTTCCCCAACCCGCACTGAACGCCGACTGCCCATGCTGCTTACCGCCTGACGAGAAAGCGAAACGCTGCAAAGTACCCCCAGCAAAAACACCCTATGCCCTATCCAGAATTCGGACGAATCCCCCGCCCCCAACCCCCATGATACGCTTACCGGTTATCGGCGGCACACCTTGTCATGCCTTTGGCCGTAGGCCGTAGCAATGTGGCCAATTGTCATGCACACCTGCTGCAGGTGTGTTGGGTATGCTGCTGGGTAATCCTGTCGCATTTATTGCGCTCGCGCGCGGGAAGCAACATAATCACAAGTTTTTCCAACCCCTTGCCCGCCACCATTCCACGCTCCCCCATCCTTCCCGCCGAACCTGTCGCACACTCCCTTCCGCGTTCTAATTGCGCCCAGTGTTCCGCTTGACCCCTCTTGCTTCCCTTCGCGATGCTGCGCCCCCCTCCCCCTGCAAGAAAAAACAGTGTTATTCTACGCTCTCCGCTGAGCCCTCTCCACGTTGATCCAAGCTGATGCGCGCCGCAAAATTCAGCCCAACCCCCAGGCACATGCCCCGCGCGGGCCATCCCCCTCCATCGCCGCGAAAATACTTTCAACCGGCTTCCGATTCCAATGTGTTTAGCGTTTAGCCAATTCTCGACCGATTTCCGACGCGCATAATTCATCTGGGGGCATCCACACATACGCCTGACATATCATCTCATTGTTTGGGCAGTCCGGTGGCCTACTATGGCGCGTAGGACCGACCGTTCGGCGATGCGTAGCCCTCTTCAGCCGTTTCGGGAGCATCTTGGCGCACTCTTGGCGCTTTCGTAGGCCCTAGGATCCCCCTTCTCTGGGGAAGGACTTCTCTTCGAGTCAACGTCGGCTTTGCTTAATGTCGGCTTGGATTCGCTTTAGGTTGGTGCGCTTGAGGATGAGGAGGGCCCCGCGATTGCGACGACGACGATGACGAGTGAAACGGAGCGAGGAGGACAGCGACGCCGACGATGGAGCAAGCAGACGACGAACCAAACATAACAGCGTCTCCCACTCGCCGACAGGGTCTGCGGCTTCAGGGCGCAGTACGTACGGGCTTGCATTGGCAATATTGGTACCACCTTGGGGTCGTATGGTCCTCTTGGGGGCCTCTTAGCCTTCCAGAGGCCTGTGTGGGACGTATGTTGGGCCTCCTTGCGTCCTCCCAGGCGCCTCTTGCCCTGGTGGTCCATCCCCGAGAACCGCCAAGATAACCCAAGAGGCCGCTAAGGGGCCCCAAAACGATCTTCTTGGGCTACCGGCTGTCTCCAAGCCTTTTCGGAGCGTTTCGCGGTGGGCTCTGGAGGACGTTGGCGCCCGTTTGCACGGGCTTGGCTTATCATGGGCTCTACGAGGGAAGAGCCCAGAACGCCCAGGAACGCAGAGGGATTCTTGACGCTTCGCGCATCCCCACCAGCGTCCGTAGCCTTTGGCTCAAGCCGTTTCTGGGCCCCGGCCCCTCGGCCGGGTCTCCCAGCTCAAGGGGTTTCCCTTGGGAGTCTTTTGGCCGCGCGTCTCCCCCGGGGCCGGGCCGCCATTGCAGACTCCTTGGATCCCTCTTCGTCGGCTACGTGCAGCGGCCCTCCTGCATAGCATGGATGGGCGATCGATCGGCGATGGTCCTGCCATCCCTGGGGCGACGATGGCCGCGTCACCAGTTCCAGACCTTGGGGCCAGCGGGCTGGCTGATTCAAGGCATCCTCGCCCTGGATCACAGGACACCATCCCGCCAGGGCAGCCGTCGCCCCCGGCTCCCTGGAGTGGGAACGCTTCTGCCGATGCCTCATGCACACGAGAACCGTTGGCCTTCAGCCAAACGGGAGGAGAGGTTGATGCTTTCAACCCCGCGATGCACACTGGCATTGCGACCTTCAGTCGCTCCCCTGGATTTGAGAGCTGCAGGCGTGATACGGTAGGAGGGGTTGAAGCTTTCAGCCCCGCGATGCACACTGACATTGCGACCTTCAGTCGCTTCCCTGGATGTGATAACGGCGGGCATGATGCCTCTCCCCCTAGCTCTTCCCATGCCCATTGCTGGGCGCCCAATCTCTTTCTCTCCAGGCGGTGTTGGGCAGAGTGGGAGCGCCCTCGGCGATTTCAGGTTTACGGGGGGCGAGGGCCCCACTTCTGAACAAGCGAACCCCCATGGATCCAGGTCCTCGTAGGCAGTCCGACGACTTGCTGAGGGATGCCCTCGGCGTTCGACCCAGGGGCCTTTGCGACGTGGGGGGGGGGGGGGGGGGGGGGGGGGGGACTAGGGAAACTGGCCCCCCCAGGGGGCGCTCGCGAGGGCATCGGGAGGGGAGACGGGCAGACGCCTGCCCTTGGTCCCGACTCGCTCCAGAGAGGCTTGCGCCTTCACTCCGCCGAACCTCCCCTCCTGGATGCTTCTGCGCCGAGTGAAGCAGCCTTCAGCTGCGAATTGAACATAGAAGATGGGCCCTCAGCCCGTGGAGCGCCTTCCGACGCAGACGCAGCGTTCAGTCGCTTCCATGGACTTGAGAACGGCAGGCGCGATACTGGAGGAGGGGGTGATGCGTTCACCCCTTCGATACATACAGATATTGCGACCTTCAGTCGCTTCCCTGGATCGGATGATGGCAGGCAGAGGGATGCCCACGGCGTTCGACCCAGGGGCCGTTGCGACGTGGAAGAGAGGACCAGGGATCTGGCTCCCACAGGGGGTGTTTGCGAGGGCGTCGGGAGGGGGGACAGGCAGACGCCTGCCCTTGGCCCCGATGCGCTTCACAGAGGCTTTCGCCTTCACTCCGCCGAATCTCCCCTCCTGGATGCTTCGGCACCGAGTGAAGCAGCCCTCATCTGCGAATTCAACACAGAAGATGGGCCTCAATCCCGTGGAGCGACCTCTGGCACATTCGGCACAGCAGAACGGGCCTTGAACGAGCCGTCAGCTCGAGCGTCTCCCACTGAACGAGCCTTCAGCTCGAGCGTGCAAGGCGTAGCGGGGTGCAGCAGAATGGATGCAGATGAGGGGCCTTCAGCCCTTGGACCGTCCAGTATCGCATCAGAGCAAGCCCTCAGCTCGAGACCCCAAGTCACCTCCAGTGACCTCAGAGGTGATGAGTCTTCAGCTCGAGATGCGGAGACGGCACCCGCAGTCCTCGGGAGTGCTGTTGGGTGGGCGGGCGCGAGTGGCGACGGGAGTCGCTGCACGCCCGACGCCCTTCCTGGGGTTGACGGCATCGCACGCATAGGCAACGGGCCATCAGCCCGAGGAGCTCCCAGAGAGGCATCCCTGACCGACCCCGCAGCCTGGGATGCCCCAAGTGGACCGCGCGGAGCCGAGGGCGATGCATCGAGCAGTCAACTCCCTGGACGCTCCTGGAACTCCGAAGACTTTCGTCAGACACCCGCCCCCCATTCGGGCAGCCGAGGAAGTGGCGCGCCCGCTGCTCGAGATGCTCGCTCCGAACGAGCCATCGGCTCGAGATGTCAAGGCGTATCGGGAGGCAGCGGAGCGGACATGGAAGACGGGCCTTCAGCCCCCGCAGCAACCCGTGATCGCATGGACGTAGATAGAAGCGATGTGCCAGCGACCACGAGTGGAGGGGGCCCTGCTCCTCCTGGGACTCCTGGCGCTCCTCTCCCTGGAGGTGCGGGTGCCGACGCCGGAGTCGCGCCCAGCCCCCGCGCAGCAAACCTCACTGTAGAGACTGGCCTTCAGCCAGAAGGAAGAGAGCGAGAAACGGGCGATCCTGATGTCAGTGGTCGCAGGGAGGCGCACTCCTCCACGGAAATGATCGATCGCGGTCGACCTTCCCTGGGAGCGACGGCTGGGTGGTCCATGGGACTACCTCGCTCGCCCAACGCTACCAGGATCGCTTCCGATCCCGCGGTTGGGGCCGCTCGCCGGGTTGATCGGATCGATCGCGCCAGATCTCCGATCGCTGCTGCCGGATCGCCCCGTGCCTTCCCTCCCTCGCCCACCAGCTCTTCTCCCGACTTCTCCCCTCCCGACCCGCCTCCCGGGCTCGAGTGTCCTGGTGGCCCTTCTGGCGGATGCCGCCGCGGCCATAAGTACTCGTCGCAAGATCGGGAACGTGGGCCCCTCCTTTGGACGGACAACGGCTCGCCTTTCGTGGTGAGTCACGCGGCACATGGGGGCCCTGTCCTAGCTGACCCGCCCTCCGACCCATCCCCAGACCTTGCCCTGGAGGAGGAATTGCGGATGGAGAACCAGCCCACCCCCTCAGATGCTGAGGACTCCAGTCAAGCGCGGAGAAACAGAGGGCAAGGCGCTGCTGACCTCCACGCCCGGTGGTTGGACGCCACTGGGCACGCGCATGCTGATTGGGCGGCCAGCCGGGAGGCGGACGGACCCATGTGTGGCCCGCGCGTGGCGGACGCCAGGGTCACCGGCAGGGGGGGTGCCATGAGTGCCCTCCGCCGGCACCTGGTGCGCATTGATGGTCCTTGGCGCGAGGTCCCCGACCGCGGAACGCCGAGAACCCCGCGCGAGACCAGCAACCTTGAGCTTCTCATGCACCACGCGTGGAGGGGGCACCGCCCAGGCCACCCAGGCATACGAGCCGACAGCCCCATGCGGGTGGCTCCAGCAGAAGCCGCCCTCCCTGGACTCGGCTCGGAGCTAGCCACTTCGGCCCCGATCCTCGCTATCCTTGACCACTCCTGGCTTGTCTGGTCCGTCACTGGAGGAGACTACGAAGGGCGTCTAGGAGGCGTGCAACCTGACCCAATACAGGTCCTTGCCTTTCGCTTTGCGAGCATCACCCATGACCCCAGCATAAGAAGGGAAAGGCTGGACGCAGCCGACCCCTCAGTGACGGAGAGACAGCTGGCTCGTCTCGAGTAGGTGGCCATGGTTGCCGCTGCGCATTATTGCGACATAGGCATGGAGCTCCCGAGCGGATTTGACACAGATAGGATGCTCATGCCCACCAGATCTCCCGAAGATGCTGTTCCCCTGCGCAGCAGTGGCCCCAACCGAACAGACGGGACGCAGGACCCCACGGATGATGAGACCATGGAGTATGCACACAGAGTCCTAATTCATGAGCGCAGACAAAATATAGTCCACTTTCCGGACCATGGGGACGTCAGGCAGTGGGCCATCACGAGAGGGAACCTCGAACGGGCGGGGAACGACGTGCACTCGAGACGACAAGCAGGTAGAGGCCCAGTACCATGGGTAGAGCCCGCCCTCTCAGGGATACCCGCCAGCTCAACGGGCATCCCTGGAGTGCCCATTCAAGGGAGCGACAGGAGCGACAACGCGTGGCCCTGGCCCACCACAGCGCATAGGCTACGGCTGCGGAACTTTTTCTGCCCGAGAGAGAGAGAGAGAGAGAGAGAGAGAGAGATGTGGTTTCTGCGGCACCTGGATGCTTCGAGATCCCACTGGACGAATCTGCATCGCCTGCCACAGGCTGGCCAACCCCTGGAGCTACAACCCAGGGGAGCCGCGAGCAGATGATTTACCACAGAGTCACCCAGGCGCAGGCCCGGGCCAACCACCCAACAGGCATGCCCTCGACCTCCTGGACACCGCCCTGCTGTTGCAGCTTGTCAGAGCAGGCATGCGGCATGCCCCAATCGCAGAGCATCTCTACTCCCCCACCCAGCCTGGCCCCTCCGACTTCACCCCGACCTGGCTCGTGGGCGAACTCCTGGGAGCCTGGAGACATATGGTGGCCCACGCCGCAGGCCTGCCTGAAATCTGGGCATACGAAGACACCGAGCCCTCGAGGAAGTCGGGAGCGATTGGCAACTCCGCACAGCAGCGATCTCTCTGGCCTTACTCTGCTCCGCTCCAGGCTCCTGGGCCCTAAACGTCTGCCAGAAAATACGACGCGTCATCAGGACCAACCCCGAAGGACGACTTTTCGGCTGGTTCCCTCCGCCTCTCTATCACGACGGCCCAGACGCGCACCCACCACCTTACTGGAGCCCCCCCCCCTGTCTAGAAGGACAACCACAACCGTCTCCATAGGGCCGAACACCGTGGTGCACCTGGATGACCTCTGCTGGCTAAGATACGCCATCGGCGGGGATCACCTAGATCGCGCTATAAGCGACGCACGAGACGGTACGGACCTCAGTAGACGCTGGTGGCACAATAGAGACAGCCCACACTCCCAGGCAGCAGAAATCATGAGAGGTGCACTACAAGCAGCCGCACGCACCGACTGGCGCCCAACACATCCCCAAATGGGACAGGGTACCCCCCTGGGAAACCTCGTCACAGATGCCGTCATCAGGCGCCTGGACTCAGACAGTAGGGGTCAGGACCAAGTGCGTGCTGGGCGTCCCAGCGACGGGCACTCTCCCACCCTGGATTGCTCGGCGTTCGACTTGGCTTCGCGCGCCCGCGTACCAAAAAGTACCCCCATCAACCCCCCCAGAAGAAGATCGCCAGGCGAGTTGCCTAGATCAGGGAAGTGTCGATGAGTGCAGATGTTACAGTCGCCTCGGAAGCGTTTTCTCGGAGGTCGCCATCTTGGGGTTCTGTTGGGGTCCTCGCGGGGCCTCTCTGGGCACTCGTGAGGCTCTTTTGGGGTTTCTTTGGGGCCTTCTTGGGGCCCTTTCGGGGCTCGGTGGGGCGGTTGGACAACCTATACCCCGGCAGAATTGGAGTGATCCTCGGTTTGGGCCTCAGAACCCCCCCCCAAAGTACTAACCCCCAAACACCCGACCCCAACACACCAACTACCAGACCACAGACACCGAACTCCACACACCAAACACCAAACACCAGGCGCCAAGCAACAAACTCCAACCCCCAAACACCAAGAGTCTGGGAGGCCTCTTGGGGCCAACTTGGCCCCCATGAGTCACCCGAACATAGGGGGGGGGGGGGGGGCGGCAATTCAGGTCCCCACCCTTGGAGGCTCGCGCATTACGTTTTTTGAGGCCCTCTTGGGGCGCTCGGGCGCGCTCTTGGGACTTCCCGGGGTTTTCTGACTTCCTTGTGTTGGGTTGTCTTTGGCCGTTTTTGGGGCGCCCCATGAGCATATCGGAAGCCAAACGCCGAAAGGGCAACACATAATGATGTTCCGTAGGCTTTGGAGCAATGTTGGTATCTGTTCGGGGGTCTTTGGAGGGTCTGGAGGGCATTTGAAACCGCTTGAGGATCGTATTGTGGCTTGGTAGACGGGAGGAGGAGGAGGAGGAGGAGGAGGAGGAGGAGGAGAGGAGGAGGGGCAGGAGGAGGAGAAGGAGGAGGAGGAGGAGGAGCAGGAGAGGAGGAGGAGGAGGGGAGGAGGAGGAGGAGGAGGAGGGAGGAGGAGGAGGAGGAGGAGGAGGAGGAGAAGGAGGAGGGGGAGGAGGTGGAGAAGGAGGAGGAGGAGGAGAGGAGGAGGAGGAGGAGGAGGAGGAGGAGGGAGGAGGAGTGAGGAGCAGGAGGAGGAGGAGGAGGATCTCCCCTCCGCAGCCGCCCTGGCCCCTGGCCTGGCCGCTCCCCGGCCCCGCGCGGGCCTGAGCTGCAGGGCCCGCCTCGCGCCGCCCTTGGCCGCGGCGGTCCCTGGCTGAGTCGGAGGCCATCTTGGACCATCTCGAGGTATCTTGAGCCACCTTGTCCTCATACGGTAGGTTTGCGTCGTGTCGACCAGCGGCGACCCCAGCGCGGGCTTTCAAGGTTGAACGCCGCCGGCGACCTAGAATCGATCGATGTTGAACGATCGGACGTTGCGGCAGCGGCCGATCGTTCAAGGTTGAACGATCCCTGCGGTGTCAAAAACCAACGCTGGGGTCGGCACGACACGGACCTGCCGTATCTTGAGCCACCTTGTTCTCAGAAGCCCTCTTAGAGCCACCGTGGCCCATCTTGGAGGCCCCGCGGGGCGCCCCTTCCAGGCCCAGGGGCGGGCAGGGTGAGGGGCAAACCCTGCCCCCGAGCAGGGGAAGGAGGAAGCTCTGGCGGAGAAAAGTCGAATTTCGTTCAATCACCTACGCTCAGAGGGCTGGTGGGATTCCTGCAAAAACGCATCTGCGTGATTGCTGTGGCACTCCAGTACGTGCTGAAGGCACGTTGTTGGATGCTGCTCAGGGGGGCACCCAGCTGAGTGTTGCAAAACAACGCGAGGACGCCGTCGGCGAGAAGACCTCACCAAGGCCCCGTTGCGCAGGGCGTGCAGCTGGAGGACGCGATCGACTTCAATTGCGAGTTTCGCGCTGTGGAGGATATCAGAGAGGCCTGGTCGGACGAGAAGATTGCATACTGCTGTAGGGAGAAGCAAGTCGGCTGCCAGGAGTATGCGGAGGGTACGTCGACAACGCTGTTCGACTGCAGCGCTGGAAACGACGATGCGGAGACGGGCTGGTCCGAGGAAAAGAAGCAGTTCTGCTGCCAGAGCGTTGGCGTCGCCTGCGCGTCAGGGGCCGCAGCCGTCGGGAGCACCAGCCAGGGGTCCACTAGTACGGGGACTACCAGCACGGGGACCACCACCGGCACCAGCGCCAGCGCCAGCACCAGCGCCAGCGCCAGCACCAGCACCACCACGGAGGATCGGAGGCGACTATTCGAGCAGTGTCGAAGCGTCCTGGCTTGCCTATAGGCCCACCACAGAATGTTATGAGAACCCTCCTGTGGCTTTCACGAAATAGTCTTCGAACATTTCTGGCCGAGACTGTCTTGGTTTCACACGTCGGCCTTGTGTTCTGAAAACATTTTTCGTGTTCTTAGAGCATTTTGGGGTCCTAAGAAGACTTCGTAGTGGGCCTAAATGCCGGGACGGCCTGCTCAAACGACAGGGGCGAATAGCCCAGGGGCGGGCATTGCACGTATTCCTGTATTCGCTCGGGGGCCCCTCCGAAAGCATGGACCATCGGCGTCCTTGGATGCATGTCTTGCTCTCTCCCTTGCGCTGAACGCCCCCCCTGGGTCGCCCCCGGGAGGAGGGGTGGGACTGCGCGGCGGGCAAGAGCAACTGGAAGGCCGGCTGGTCCGAGAAGAAGAAGGCGTACTGTTGCGAGCGGGCGCAGATCGGGTGCGAGAGCCGCCCGTCCTTGGGGCTCAGCGGGTCGGACTCGTCCGTCTCCCTGGGGGCCCTGGACCCCAGCACGCCCGTGGGCACGACCTCTGGCCCCATCGATGGCAGCAGGCGTCTCGGCCTCCCAGGTGGGGTCCGAGTAGGAAGGGTTGGTGGATCGCGCCGCATCGCCGATGCATCGACGATGCGGCTCGATGTGCCACCACCCACAAAACCACCCCAGCCCATTCCGAAGGCCACAAGTTGCCTTCCATTCCCAGCATGGGCGTGCGTCCGGGAACATTGACGAGACTCATGTGGATCCTGTACCTCCCCCCAACCCGAAATTTGGATCGTCGGGTTAGGCTATTCGGAGCCCGATTTTCTCCACGCTGGTGTCGCCGATGCATCGCCGACATCGCCGATGCATCACCGATGCATCGGCGATACATTGGCGATGCGATGCAATCCTCCGACCCCATCCACTCGTGCTCCATCTTGGAGGCCTCTAAGGCAGGCCTGCAGGAACGGAACGTGTCAGTACGGCATCCTGGTGTGCGAGGAGCTTCTGCGCGTCGGTCGGGAGCTGGGGAAGGGGACGCAGATCGTGTTTTACCCCGCGGGCGCCCTCGAGACAGGACTTCCGAAAGGGAGGGTCACGGTCCGCGACATCATAAACGCGAACCCCGAGGGCAATTATTACAGCCACGCTGTCATCAACGGCTCCCTGGTGAAGGCGGTGCTGGACAAGATGTTGGCCGACCACGGGGCGAACGTGGGCGTCAGCGCTGCGTTCATGCAGATGGCTGGGCTGCGCTTCCAGGCGTCCAGGAAGATAGCCGCGCCCGCGCGCAGGGCCCAGGACCAGGGGTGGATCTAAACGGTGTTTTTGCGATTTCGTGGGCCGTTTTCGTTTCGATTTCGTATTGCGTTGAAGGCGGATGGAAGCCAAAACGAGGGAAAACGAGAACAAAACAAAAACGACAAACACCGTTTAGGTTCAGCCCTGCCCAGGACCAAGACGCCGCCGATAAGTACTATGAAGCTGACAGTTGGCAGAACATTGTGAGCGATTGGGACATCGGAGTGGTGCAGGTGAAGAGCGATGGTGCGTGGAGGGAGCTCCGGGCCGAGAAGACGTACAACGTCATCATGAACCGCTTCGACCTGCAGGGCGGCCGCGGGTACAAGTTCCTTCGCAGCGTGGAGTACCAGTCCGCAACCGATACCCGGGTGGCGATGTACAACATGATCAAGGGCGGCATCGTGGACCCTCCCAGCTTGGATGAGCGCCACTGCCTTCACGAGCAGTGCCCGTGGCTGACGCCCCTCGGCCGCACCTCGGCCGCCGTGGACGGCAGCCCCGAGAGCTGCCGACACGCGCAGTGCCCCTACGGCATCCTGCTCGCCGAGGAGCTCCTGAGCATCGGGCGCCAGAGCCGCAGCGGCACGCGGGTCGTGATGTACAATGCGGGAGGCATCCGCGCCTCTTTGCCGAAGGGGCCAGTCACTTTCGCAGACATGGCGAGGGTGCATTCCTGGGGCAACAGCTACGTATCGGTGGAGCTCCTGGGCTCCCAGATCAGGGCCGTGCTCACCAAGACGCTGGCGGAGCACGGCAGGATGGGCGACTCGGGCGACTGGATGCAGCTCGCAGGCCTGCGCTTCCAGGCCACCTGGAAGGAGACCCGCTCGTCCTGGCGGCTAGACAGGGTGCAGGTGCAGGACCTAGGGGAACGAACAATGACATAAGCATGAGAACTCGGAGGTCCGCGCGGATTTGGAGGTCCGCGCGGATTTCCCGGATCGGCGCTCGACCCCCCTCCCTGGCGCGCGGAGCGCGCCAGGGATCGGCGCTGGAGGCGCCGCCTGGGGGTGCCCAGCGCCGATCCAAGACATCCGCGCGGACCTCCGAGTTTTTTTTTATTGTTATATATATATATATATATATATATATGTGTATATATATATATATCTATATATATGTTTATGTCATTTTTCGTTCCCCTGAGGACGTGGATGCAAGCTGGAAGGACTTGGATGACAAGTCCACGTACGGCGCTATCATGAACCGTTGGATCGTTAACGGCGGCGACGGCTTCGACGTGCTCAACGGCACCCCCTACAAGGTCTTGGGGACGACCAGGGGCGCCATGATCCAGAAGCTCCAGCGGTCAGCCTCGCCACTGGACCCTCCGCAGGTGGACGACCGCGCGTGCCTCATCGCGGGGGCCAAGAAGAGCTGCAGCTGGACGGGCCAGGTCAAAGCAGACAGCGCGAAAGTCCCGTGCGTCGACACCGACAGTGGGGCGCTCGACAACGATGGGGACTTCTGGGGAGTGTCAGGAGGAGGAGGAGGAGGAGGAGGAGGAGGAGGAGGAGGAGGAGGAGGAGGAGGAGGAGGAGGAGGAACCTCCTCATCCTGCTCCTCCTCCTCCTGCGCAACTGCACCGATCCTTGCCAGCCCAGTCCTGCGCCATAGCGGCTGGTGTCCACGCCCTGCCGACCAGGCTGGGGCGGGTTCGGTTGCAAGTCATGGGAGCATCTTGTCGGAGGGTGCCAGAAGGGTTCGTTGGACAAGGTTGGTTTCGCTGGAGTCGAGGTCCCTCCAGCCCGACCTTAGGCACTCCAGCACGACCTGAGGCGCCCCAGCAGCCGTCGAAATCACCCTTCTAGAGCCAGACCTTCTCGCCGTCCTCGATTGTGTGCCCTCGTGATTTTGTTTTAGCGTCGTCAACCAGCGTCTGGGAGTTGACGAGGTACCGCCGACTTAGCGTCGGTTTGCGTCGAGTAGCGTCGAGTAGCGTCGATTCAGTGTCGACTAGCGTCGATTCGCAAGAGTCGACAGCATAGTACGGGCGGCTCTCATGAGTTGCCACCGACGGCCGGGAGGGGCTGGTACAGTTCGTTTTTTTGTTTCTTAACCTGCGCGGCAAGTCGCCCCGTGGCCAAGGGAAAGGAGCAGGGCGGAAGAGCAAGAGAGCAGCAGGGAGGGACGGCAGCAGGGAAAGCAGCAGCGGGGAGGGGCGCGGACACGCAGACCCGGGGGGGGGGGCCAGGATGGGCCTGGCAACCAGAAGCGGCACCCGGGGGCACAGGCAGGAGCAGCCGCGTGCCGCTTCCGGTCCTGGGCCCGGCACCACGGCGGTGTCACGTCCGCACCAGGCTGGCCCAGGATGGGCTTGGCACCCCAGAGATCCATCAAGACATAGGTTTTGCGCAACTTTCGGCCCCTAGGGGCCCTCACCGGGCCTCAGGACCGTCAAACAATTCAGGATGAACAACCGGTCCTGGGGAATGGGTCGAGATTTCCCAGGACCCGTCTTGAAAAAAACACGACATCGGATCTGGGACCAGGACGTGAAGGCGTCCGCCCTCCACCCTTGGCCTCCTAGACGGGGTCCGAGTGGATTGGGTCGGAGGTTTGCGCCGCATCGCCGAGGCATCGACGATGCGGCTCGCTATGGAGACTGCAAGAGAAGAAGCAAAAACGGCATAGACATAAACTTTTGGCGCTCCGCGCGGATTCCTTTTGATCCGCGCTGTGCCCCCCCCAGGCGGCGCCTGCGGCGCCGCCCTTGGCGCGCTCCGCGCGCCAGCGGGGGGGGTCCAGCGCAGATCCAAGAAATCCGCGCGAAGCGTCAAACGTTTATGTTCATGCCGTTTTGCCCTTCCTCCTAAGGCTGGCCCATGATGGGCCTGGCACCAGGGCGTGAGGTCGTCCGCCCTCCCCCCAGGACCACTGCTCCAACTACACCGCCAACCCCGACTGGTGCGGCGCCCACGACGACGACGACTTCACGTCCGCGGGCATGTGCTGTGCGTGCGGCGGCGGCAGCGAGGGCGGCGTCCTGGGCTTCGCCTCGGGGCCGATCGACGGCGAGGAGCTTGCCGGCACCCCTTCCCTCGTTGGAGCGGAATCGTCGGCGGCGGCGACGGCGGCGGCGCCGCCGCCGCCGCGTCAGCCGTCATCGTCGTCGTCGTCGTCGTCATCGTCGTCGTCGTCGTGGTCGTGGTCGTGGTTTCTGGTCGTGGTCGTGGTCGTCGGCGTCGTCGTCGTCGCGGTCGTGGTCGTGGTCCTGGTCGTGGTCCTGGTCGTGGTCGTGGTCGTGATCGTGATCGTGGTCGCCGTTCCCACAGGAATGGGCAGCAGGAGGAGGCAGGAGTGGAAGGAGGTGAAGAGGAGGTGGAGGCTTTTGGATACTTGGTGGGGTCTCTAGAGGCTTTCGAAGGCTCCGCGTCGGAGGTTTTCAATAGTTTGGAGGAAAGAGCAGGATGATTAGGTGTGTGTTTTTGGTCCCCGTGTTTTCCTCATCCCGTAGTCATCCTGATCATTTCTCCTCTCCTTTCTTTTCTTTCATACTGATTTGTCGTCTGCTCAAGCTGCCAGAGAGCGATAACCAATTCTTAACGCTTCGCGTAACCCAACCAGCCCATCCAGACACGATGCCCAGACGAGTTGCCTTGATCAGGGATGTGGAGGTGCATGCAGTGAAAGAAATGGCTGGGTAAGACGTCATACCCCAAGAGGGGCAGGATGGAGGAGGAGGATGAATAGGAGGAGGAGGAGGGAGGAGGAGGAGGAGGAGGAGGAGGAGGAGGAGTATGGAAAGGGGGAGGGCTTGGAGTCCTCTTGGGGTGTCTTGAGTGTCTCTTGGCAGTCCCGGGGGCCTAGTGGAGCGTCTTCGGCGTTTCTGTGGAGAGCGGCTTGGGGCCTCTCGGGGGTCTCTTGGCAGCCTGTTTGGGGCATCTTGGGGGCCTTGTGGGGCCTCCTAGGCGCCTCTCGGGGCCGTCTTGGCTCCCCCTTTGGAGCCTCGGGGGCCATCCTGGGGCCATCCTGGAGGAGATCGATCAAAGGAGGGGCAGTCGCACATTAGGCCGCCCTCCCCTCCCAGGCGACCAGCCTGTTGCCAAAACCTTAGTGGGCCCTGGAAACGTCAGAGCTTTTTTACATGTCTTCTGCTAGTTCCGTCGCCATTGTTTGCCGGTTCCGTCGCCGTTTTTTTTGTTGCCGGTTCGGGCTCCGGTTCCAAGTTTGGAGCCTTTTTTACCGTTTCCCGTTGTTGTTTTTCACATTTTCCATGCTCGAGAGATTTGCTTCCGGAAATGATGATAAATAGCCCTGCCGTTTCAAGGGACCATTGAGGCCAAACCCTGTGTACATTCGATGATGTTGGCCTTCTCGCCGAGGCCTCTTGGGTTGTCTTGAGGGTGCCTCTTGGGGGTTTCTTGGGGCCTCTTGGTGGGAGCATCTTGGGGGGGCATCTTGGGCCTTTCGGGGGCCTCTTAGGGTTTCTTGGGCACCTCTTGGGGCAGTCTCGGGCCACCCTTGGGAGCCTTGGGGGCCCTCTTGGGGCCATCTTGAAGGACCGAACAACGGTGGGGCCGCAGTGAATTAACCGCATGCCCCAAATCATACATCATCCCCCCCCCCCTTTCACGATTGAGAGCTGTTTATCTTTGGCCAAGGCAGAGTTGGTCAGGAGAGGGGCGGCAAGGTCGATTTTTTTTTTATCTCGGGGGAAAGTTAGGAATCACAGCTGCCTTATTTTGATGCTGAGTAGAAACACGATCATCTCTAGCGAAGCAGGGCTATGACATATTCTCTACAATTTGGGCTACTCCCGCTACTACAACTACTACTGCTACTATGACTACTACTGCTGCTGCTGCTACTACTACTCTCACTATTACTATTACTAGTACTACTACTCCCGCTATCACTACTATTTCGATTACTATGATTATTATTACTACTACTACTACTACTACTATGACTACTACTACTACTACTACTGTCATTACTACTACTACTACCACCACTACGACTACTACTATTACTTCTATTACGACTACTACTACTTTTACTACTACTACTACTACTACTACTACTACTACTTCTACTACTACTAATAATAATAATGATAAAATTCATATTAAAACAATAACTTCTACTTCTATTGCTATTACTACTACTACTAATACTACTACTACTACTACTACTACTACTACTACTACTACTACTACTACTATCACTACTAATACTGATACGGACACTCATACTACTGCAACTACGACTATGACGACGACTACTGGCACTACTGCTACGACGACACTTCCGGTTACTACTGCGACTGTTGCTCGTATCGCTACTACTAATATTATTGCCATGCCAAGCACCACTACCTCGACGACGGTTACTACTATTACGACCATTACTGCTACTACTACGACTATTGACATACTACTACTACTACTACTCCTACTACTACTTCTACTACTACTACTACTACGACTACTACTACTATTACTATTACTACGACTACGACTACGACTACCACTGCTTCTACTACAATCACTACTATGACTATTACTACTACTACGACTACTACTACTTCGACTACTACTACTACGACTTACTACTACTATCATTATGCTTATTTCTATTACTACTACCATCGCTACTCCTACTACTACTACTACTACTACTACTACTGCTTCTGCTACTACTACTACTGCTTCTGCTACTACTACTACTACTACTACTACTACTACTACAACTGCTGCTATTACGACCGTGACTGACACGAGTGTATTCCTTCCAGTGATACATTACTACTACTACGACTACTACTACCGTTTTTTGTTTACTACTACTACTACTACTACTACTACTACCACTACGACTACGACTACGACTATTCCTATCACTACGACTACTACTACTACTACTACTACTACTCCTACTACTACTACTACTACTACTACTACTACTACTACTATTACTACTACTACGACTACTACTACTGTGACTACCAGTACTACTGCTACAGCTCTGACTATTGCTCGGATATTTACGACTAGTGCTACTATTATCATTACAACGACTACTACTCATACCACTATCACTACTACTACTACTACTGCTACTACTACTACTACTAGTAGTACTACTACTACTACTACTACTACTACTACTACTATTACTACTACTACTATTACTGCTACTACTACTACTACTACTACTACCACTACTACTACTACTACTACTACTACTACTACTACTGATACGACTACGACTATGACTAGGACAACGGTTACTATCCGTAAGGGCTTCCCCCCTGCCGCCAGCCCCCTCTTCTCGGAGAATGCGCTATACAAGAGCTATGTCATGAGGCCTGAGCGCTGTCGTGAAGCAGTATTGGAACTTCATGCGAGGCCGACTCGTAATGAGCAAAACCAATAGATGACCACAGGGGTACCACACCTGGCGATTGGTAAGACGTCGTGGCCCTGCCGATCTGCGTGAGGGGTGCCACCGAATTTCAAAACATGTCGCAAGTCCATGTTTTTGGACCATGACCCTGCGGATCCGCGTGAGGGGTGCCACCGGATTTCAGAAATGTTGAGAATCCCTTGGGTTTTCGGACCCTGACCCCGCCGATCTGCGTGAGGGGTGTCATCGAATATCAGAAATGCGGAAAATCCCTATGTGTTTTTGTACCGTGACCCCGCCGATCTGCGTGAGGGGTGTCACCGGGTTTCAGAAATGTGGCACATCCTATGTGTTTTTCCCGGAAAGGGCTTAGGCCCAGGGTTCTCTTTTAGAGGTTTACCCCCGGACTTGATTTGAGGTGGGCCGGCGGAATTATTCCGTGCTAAATAATGGAGGTCGAGGTGGGCTGTCGGAATTATTTTTGAGGATGTCCTTAGCGAAACGCTTGTTTTTGAAATCGCGATCGATCAATCACAGGGTGCGGGAAACATTTGGGTCAGGGGCACGGATTACGTATGTTCTTATAGATCGTCCCCATCCAATGGCACGCATCTGTGTGTTTTTACGTATGTTCCTATAGATGGGCCCTCTCATTGCCTATCGATTGGCCCTCTCCAGGGGCACGATTACGTGTGTTTTTACGTATATTCCCATAGATTGGCCCTTTCCAGGATTACGTGTGTTCCCATCGACTGGCCCTCTCCAGGGGCACGAACCCGTGTGTTTGTTTACGTCTATTTTTAGAAATGGGCCTCTCATTACCTATAGATTGGCCCTCTCCAGGGGCACGACTCCGTGCGTTTTTACATATATTCTCATAGATTTGCGTTCTCCGGGATTACGTATGTTCCTATATATTGGCCCTCTCCAGGCACAGGAGGCGAAGGAGGGGGGAGGAGGAAGAGGAAGACGAAGAGGTGGAGGAGGAGCAGGATAATGCGGGGGAGGAGGTGGAGGAGGAAGAGCCGAAGGAGGAGGGGAGAGGCGGAGTTGGAGGGAGAGGAGGAGGACGAGGAGAATGAGAAGGAGAAGGAGGACATAGAGTTTGTCGCCCTGGCGCCGTTCCCTCGCATCCCGTGATCCTCGCCCCTCGCGCCTCCTCTCCTCGCCCCCCTTTCCCAGTTGCTGCCACCGCTCGCTCCCCGACTCCTGACTCCCCTCGACGCCTCCCCCCTCCTCCCGTTCCACCGGTCCTCCCGCCCCTCCCGCTCCTGTCCTGTTGGCCCATCCCTCCTCTTGCCTGGGGATGAGGAGCCGCGGTGCCTGAAGACGATGTGCCAGTATGGCACGCTGCTCGTGGATCAGCTCCTGAAGACGGCCAGGGACAACCTGTTCAATGCGCAGGTTGTGCTCAGCCGTGCAGGACCCTGATGCTGCCTGGCAAGAGCGGCTCCGCCGTGGTCCCTCGCCTCCGCCTTGGCCTCCTCTCAGAAGGGGAAACACAACACACACAATGACTCGTCGACCCCCAGGAATCTGTAGGAAAATATGGAAGTGGAGGGGACGACGAAAACCCAGAAAATATTGGAAAATACTGGGAATGCTTGGATGTGTGTGTATTTATTCGTGTGTCCCAGGACCCCTTTAGCCTCCCCGATCTCCCCCGACCTCCTTGACCGTATCCAACCGCCCACAGGGGGGGGCGATTGGACATACGCGGTGCCTCGAAGGCTCGCGCAACACATGGTACCCCGATTCCCGCCGAGTTCTTCTTGAGCCGCCAGCCCCTGGAACTCTCAGCCCCGTCCGCAGGACCCACTCTCCATCAGAGTCGTCTTACGACGGCCCCAGGGCCCAGAAACGAGGAGAAGGAGGAGGATCACTGACCAAGCTGCCAGGACAGCGAGCGGGCCGCCTTAGGACAGTCCCTGAGCCAACTAGGGATTGTCAAGGCGGTGCACCCGTTACCTGGGGAAACCCCAACTTGCCGCTTGTTGTTGCCGGTTGCTAACGAGGAGAAGGAGGAGGAGGAGGAGGAGGAGGAGGAGCAGGACAGGAAGAGGAGGAGGACGAGAGCCCTTCCCCAGGACCCGCTTTCCAGCAGAGCCGTCCTGCGACTGCTCCGGGGCCCGGAGGCGGCCTTCCAGACGCCGAGCACCACGGCACAGCTCCGGCGCACGCTTTTGTTGAGCCGCGCCTGGGCACCTTCGGTGCCCCCTGAAGTCCAGCAGGGCGTGGATGGGCACCCTGGCGCCAAGCGCGCCTCCTCTTTGTTCTCCACCTCGGCAGCCTGTCTCCGTCCCCTCGCCCCATATACATTCTACCTATGTGCGTGCGTGCGTATACAGATGATGTGTACACTTGTAAATGCATAGAATACTCATCCTTCCTCCGTCTCGTTGTCCTCCTCCACCCTTTTTTGTTTTACTTGGCTAAGCTCTGGGCGACGGGGCTCGTAACCCATGCTTCCTCTGCCTCTTTCATCCCGTTCCCTGCCATGGTTCTCCACCAGTTTCTTCTCTGCATCGTGCTTCTCCTCCACCTCTCACTCTTCTCCCGTATCCTTATCCTCTCTCTTCCTCCTCTTTTCTCCACCCTCGGGAGGTTTGCGTGGCTCCCTCCTCGTCCCTTCCCTCCTCAGGAGGAATACGTGGCTCTCTGGGCAAGGGCGACGTCACCCTCGGCGACATTGAGCGGATCCACCCCTCGGGAGACAGCTACGCAATCTGCAAAATGCCTGGCAAATTGATCAAGGACCACGGTCACGAGTGCGGAGGAGCAGGGATGAGGGGATGAGGAGGAGGAAGCGCAATCTGATACGTTTCATACCATCACAGATGAATGCGCCCAAACATAGTGAAGCCCCCCTCATTGCAGTCTTCCTGACATCAGTCCTGCTTTTGCTTTTACTCGGCGTTCCGCGTTCCGTTATGACGTGCAGATGTATAGTTTCCAAGCAGTGCTTGCACCACGGGCCCTTTGGCTCCTGTCCTGAGTGGACTGCACGGGCGTGGCGAGGATTCGCTCAGCGGCCGCCCGCTTCTGCTTGCCACCGCTCCAGGGAGGACCAACCACCCGGACCGGACAATCTGGCGTTTTCCAAAGCGGCCCTGGGCGTTCACCAACCAGCCCTGCCCTGTTCGAGTCCTTCTTCCGGCGCGTCTACGAAGCGGCTCCGCGCGCCGGGGTGGTGATTCTCGGGGTGGAGTTTCTGCCCTCGAGCGTCGTTGTCCTCCTCCTCCTCCTCCTCCTCCTCCCCCTCCTCCTCCTCCTCCTCCTCCTCCTCCTCCTCCTCCTCCTCCTCTGACTCCTCCTCCTCCTCCTCCTCCTCCTCTGCATCCTCCTCCTCCTCTGCCCTCCTAACCGCGCCTCGCGGCGGCCCGTGCCCCCTTCGCTGCCGCCGCCCGCGGCCGCCTCCCGCCGCTGCTCGTGGCCGCCGCTGGGCGGGCGTGCCGAGGACCCGCCGTGCTTGCCGCCCGTGCCCGCTCGTCGTCGCCGCCGCCCGCGGTCGCCGGGCTGGCGCGTCGAGAGTGAGCCAGGCTGCCGCCCCTCCTCCTCCTCCTCCCTCCTCCTCCTCCTCCTCCTCCTCCTCCTCCTCCTCCTCCTCCTCCTCCTCCTCCTCCTCTCCTCCTCCTCCTCCCCTCTCCTCCTCCTCCTCCGCTCTCATTCTCCTCCCTCCCTCCCTCCTCTTGTCCTCTCCTCCTCCTCCTCGTCCTCCTCCTCCTCCTCCTCCTCCTCGCTCTCCTTCTCGCTCTCCTTTCCTCCTCCTCCTCTCCTCTCTCTCCCTCCTCCTCCTCCTCCTCCTCCGTAACCATTTTTGCTCAAGCCTGCCTTGGACGCCAGACGGGCGGTGCGCGCGTTGTCTCTCCCTGTAGAGTCCTGTCATATCGGCAGGCGCGGAGAGCGGCTCAGTCTCCTTCCCCTAGCGCAGCCTCTTGCGATGGAGGCGAAGGCAATGGCTGCGGCTGAGCGATGCCAGCTCTTCGTGGCACTGGCGCCACGGGTGCGAGCGGCAGCGGCCCGCACGGCTGAGGGAGGCGGAGGACGCCATCACCTCGCCGCCGCAGTCGCTGCCGTGATGCGCATTGGAGTGGCGCTAATTTACGAGACGGCGCCGCACAGCGAGAAACTCGACAGCGAGGAGCAGGTCGAGCTCGCTGCGCGGTTGGTGGCCGTCGATAAGGCGCTAACCCTCCAGTTGGCGGGCAAGACAGTCCCAGACAGTGTACGGTTCGAGCGCAACTTCGCAGCCCACGTGGGGATCGGCGAGGGCGCCGACGTGCTGATCCTGGAGACCAAGGAGAAGAAGAAACAACGGGGCCAGTGGGCAGGTGGCGATGGCCTCGGTGGAGCCCTCGGAGAGCGACTCCAGCGTGAAGGACGGCGCTGGGGCTCTTTCCGAGGACCGCGAAGGCCAGATGCAGGTGCAGAAGAACGTGGCGGACGGCGCTACGGCTCTCTTCGAGGATCGGGAGCGCAAGCAGAAGGAGCGGGAGACCAACGCGCGCGAGGACGACTGCAACGTCAAGATCGACAAGCCGGCGCAGCAGGCCGCAGCGGAGCAAGTGTCACCGTGCTATGATCTCTTCGCGCCCAGCGAGGAGGGCAATCAGACGGAGCTGGAGGGCATCGTTGACCCCATCACGACCAATGAGGAGGGCGGCCTGGAGAAGTCCGAGAGGGTCGGGCCTGAGTGCCCCCTGCCGAGGCGACGTCCTGGAATCTGCAAAGGGGCCTCCCGTGAAGCCGACGGGGACTTTCACGGAGGAGACGCTCAGACCCGCGGCGTTGGCGACGGCGACAAGGAGAAGACCGAAAAGGTGGTGCAGCACACCCTCGGCCGTCCCGTGTGCACTGTCGGTGACGAGTATGCGGGCAAGCAGAAAGAGTGCGAGAGCATCGCCACTCCCAGCACGATGAAGATGTCTGGGGACGTCGCCAACGTGAGGATCGCGAAGTCGGTGCAGCAGCCTGCCGTGGAGCAGGTGCCTCACAGCTCTGATCTCTTCGTCCCCGACGGCGAAGGCAAGCAGACGGAACAGAAGGGCATCGTCAACCCCACCACGATGAAGGAGTTCGCCAGCGAGAGCGACACGGATGACGTCCCGCCTTGGGAGCGCGACGACCCAGACGACGACGAGTTCGACCGTGCCCGCAAACGAGCCTTCCGGCAGAAACTGGTGGCGCGTCGACGCCGCGGCTGAGGGTTCGGGCGAGGCGCGGGCGGCTGGGCCCCGCGGAGGCTCATGTTCCTCCTGCGGGCCCAGTGGCGAGTGGGGCCGAGAGACGTCACGGGGTTGCCGTGCCAGGCAGGGGCCACGGTGCCTGTCCTGGGGTGGCCTCCCTAGTGGAGTGCCTAACCTAGACCTCGTCCTCCTCCTCTCTCCTCCCCCCTCCTCCTCCTAGGCCCGCTGGTCGCCGCTCGCAGCGTCAGGCAGGCCTCGAGTCGAGACAGATCGCTTCAGGGCGCCCAGGACGCTCCGAGACGGCCGCCGAGCCCGGTGCAGCCTCCCAGCCCGCCGATCCTCGGAGGTTCTCGATGCACATCGGCTGATGTCGTCTCGATGCGCATCGGGCCGCTCTCGCCTCGATCCTCGGAGACTCTCGATCTGCCTCGGGTGGATTTCGTCTCGAGCCCCCCTTCGGCCAAGCGCGTGCGCCGAGGCCTCGCCGCGTGGCCGCCCGTCGCCGCTCGAAGCCGCTGGGTGGTGCTGCCGCTCGTGCCCGCCTGGTGCGCCGAGGCTTCGCACCGGGCCCGTGGCATGGCAGCCCCGCCGCGCGCGGCCCGGCGGCCGGCGGCCGCGCCCTGCGCGGCGGGCGCGGGCCCTCGACGTCGGCGCCTCCTGCCGCCGCCGCGGTTGCACGGCGCGCCCCGCACGACGCCGTCGCCGCGGGGGGCTTCTGCGCGCAGGCGCCAGGCAGGGCAGAGCTCGTGGAGGATAGGGAGCGCGAGAGCTTACCAGAAATGGCACCAGAGAAAAGCCCCAAGCAGTGGATGGGTTGAAAGGGGCTCGATGAAGAGATCGATCTGGAGATCGACCGGGGACTGGGTAACTCTGGAGCCCCGACTTCCCACCGAACTTGGCCCGGAGCCAATGACCAGTAACCAGGGGCCCCGGAACCGGGAGACCGGGAACCCAGCCAGCCACCAAAATCGACGGCAAAGTTTCGCCGAATCTTTCAGTATCCGTTTGGACCCCTTCAGTGCAATCACTGATTGGGGAAGAAGTGTCAGCCCCTTCAGCCAGAGTGCTGCGGAATTCTGGCCTGGATGATCCCAAAACGACTCGACGGTGACGGGGCCGAAGATACAATCCGACCAACGCAAGTCGGGTTCAGACCAGGGAGCAGCATTGTATGTGCAATGTCACAAGCCCGCCGTACGATGGACTCATGCCGGTGCACGAAGTATCTGGTTTGATCATTGTCCTGCTCGATTGGACCAAGGCCTTTGACAGGATCAACTTCGACGTTTTTGATCCAGGCCTTGGCGTGATTTGTTTTGCCAGAGTCCCTGCTTTCACCTGTTGCAGCCATCTATAAATGACGTTGCTTTCTGCTGACAGATCTGGACGAAGATCACCATGAGGCAATAGCTCGCAGGAACTGTTCAGGATCACCAGTGATGTCCTCCGGCGTTGCCACGATGTACACAGCCATGACAACGGAAAACCAAAGGCGTGCCCGCATGATGTGCAACCGCACACGGCACGATGCGTGTAAGCTGATGGCACGAGACAGCAGGATGTGTTCGGTCTCACGGTCGGGGTGGATTTACCAGAAGAAGCCGTCGCGACAAAGGTAAACAGTGATGGGGTCGAACGAGATGTTTCTACGCAGTTGCGTGTCAAGATGTTGAAGAAACCGTCTACTTGGGTGGATTATGGCACAATTGCGTTGAGAGCAAGCCTGAGGTTGCAATACGGTTGAGGGAAGCCAGGAGGCTGATCAAGTTGTTGCACACATCTGGTAACCACGCCGGTACCAGCAAGTCTCGTACGGTTTTTCGTACGGGTGTCACAACCGAGCCGTACTATATATATATATATATATGCGGTTTCCTGGCCCCTTGGATCCATTTGGGCACGATCTGACATCCAGAGGTCTCCTTGGGGGCTCCGGAGGTCTCCAGCACCTCATCCTCAGGTCCTTTCTCGCTGGCCTCCTCCTACAGTTCTTCCCTCTCCCCATCCTCATGCTCATCGTTCTCTCAGTGCTCCTTCTTCTCGTCATCATGCACCTTCTCTGGTTTCTCCGACTCTACTCGTGCTGCTATTCCTTGTTCTCCTCGTCTTCCTCCTCGTCAGGGCTGGACCTGAACGTTTTTTTTTGCGATTTCGTGGGCCGTCTTCGTTTCGACTTCGTTTTGCGGTAATGACGGATTCGAGAAACGCGAGGGAAAACGAAAACAACACGAATACGAACAACAGTTTAGTTTCAGCCCTGCTCCTCGATCTTTCCATCTTTCTCCCCACGCTGCACTCCTTCCCGCCCCACCTCTCCAGGGCTCACTTCGATTCCTCCGATTCGATTCGATTCGACTTCGTTGGCTTCCGATTTCGATTCGTTTCGATTTGGGATTCCGACTTGGGCTCCGAGTTCTCAGTGGAGGCACACTAGCCTCCCGATCTCCGCCGATTCGACTTTTCCCGACTCGGCTGCCGATCCCCGCCGATCCGATCCATTTCGATCGCCGATCCGACGTATCGATTCGATTGTGGGGTCGCCTGCCTCTCATCACACAGGGTGAGTGCTGCTCGCCTCTCACCCCTGCGTCTGTGCGCAGAAGACGCTCCGGGGCTCCCTCCGCGCACTGGCTCTTTCTTTTTAAGTCGGGCCTGTCCCTCTGCAGGGGGAATATTCCAAAGCAGTAAAACGACGGTCGGGGGGCTATTTTTTGAGTACGTTTGGGCATCTTTTGAGTTTTGTTTTGATGGTTTGTTGTTTTTCATCCCAGATCCCCTTGTATGGGGGACAGGCCCGACCTAACTCCTTCTAGACGAAAGGATGCCGGCGAGTTGGTACTTCGTGTGTTTTTTCGGAGGTTGATCGACCTCCTACCCTGGTACGTCGATTACCGACTCGGCCGTTTTCGGTTCGCGCGAGGGCGTCGCGGCCGTCATCTGTGTGGGTCCAGGTCCCTCGGTTTCGGTCCTACGCCGTTTTCCCGAGAGGGAGGTTTGCTCAAGGGCAGTTTGTCCGCCGCCGAGTTTTGCCTTCCGGGACGTCTTCGGCAGTTCCGAGGGGGCATTCTCGCCTCGACGCCCGCCGCACAGTCGGCCTGGATTAGTAGATCGACCCTGCCAGATCAAGGGTACCCTGGTGTCCTGTGTCTCGCGACCCGTGCCTCCCGCATTCCAGTGGCAGCGTGGCCCGCGGAGGGGTCTTGTGTCCTCTCGCGTGTCCTGTCCAATCAAGTCCGATTTCACTAGAAATTACAGGAGGAGGAGGAGAGGAGAAAGGGGAGGGGGAGAGGGCAAGCTAGGTGCGCTCGCGTCAACATCTGACATCCTACCCCTTCCTCCCATCCCTTCCCATTGAGCTACTTCATTGTCCTCTCACCGAATCGGGCTTCGCATCTGACCCTGTTACCTAAGAGGGAAAGGAGGACGACGGCGCGATGAAAACGAAGGCGACGACGAAGACGACGACGACGACGACAACCACGACGACGACGACGACGGCGGCGACGACGACGACGACGACGATGAGGACGACCGGCGACGAAGACGACGACGACGACGACGCGACCGCGCCGGAGCGGCACCCGCGCCAGCTGCCCGCTGCCGTTACGCGCAACATTCTGAAGGACCGGAAAGACTCGGATTTTCAAAAACATAGATGAAAACCAAACTCCCGGGAATCCTGTGCGGAAAAGGACGCCGCCCAAAAGGGGGGGGGGGCTTTCTGCGGCCCCAAAAATCAACGAATCGACACCGGATGTGTAATCACCTCCAATGTTTTTGCCGGGGATCATTTTCTAGATTTGGGGCTTCTTAAAAAGGATCGAAAACGTCGGCGCTGCAGCGGGAGCACGTTTTGGAACAACGAGAGGCGCAGAAATTGGGCCAGCGCTGCAGCGGGAGCACGATTCGGAACGAGCGGGAGCGCGGAAATGAGGCCAGCGCTGCAGCGGGAACACGATTCGGAAGGAGCGGGAGCCCGAAAATTAGGCCAGCGCCTCAGCGAGAGCAGCATTTTAGAAAAAAACACAAGCGAAAACCCAACTCCGGGGAATCCTGTGTGTAAAAAAACAGTACGCGGGGGGGTGCCGAATATCTTCCGGACGCCATCAGGGGAAGTGGGAGAGTAGTATTCATTTTGTGTAATTGTGGAGGAGGAGGAGGAGGAGGAGGAGGAGGTTCCGAGGGGGCGTTCTCGCCTCGACGCCCGCCGCACCATCTGCCCCCTCTGCCACTGCTCCACAGGAGTACTACTCGCCTCTCGCCCCCGAGTCTGTGGGGAAGGTGCTCCTCCTCCTCCTCCTCCTCCTCCTCCTCCTCCTCCTCCTCCCTCCTCCCTCCTCCCTCCTCCCTCCTCCCTCCTCCCTCTTCCTCCCTCCTCCCTCCTCCCTCCTCCCTCCTCCCTCTTCCTCCCTCCTCCCTCCTCCCTCCTCCCTCCTCCCTCCTCCCCCTCCGCGGGCGCCTCTGCGGGTGCTGCGGGCTACAGCCGGCCACGACACAGGAGTGGGGTCAAGTGGAGAAGAATCTCGTGCAGTGCGCACGTTCCTGAGTAGGCGACCAGCCGGCGCAATTTCTCACGCGAGGACAGGCACGTCTAGCAGCAGCAGGATTGCCTCATCAGGACCAGCCTCAGGATGCTGCCAGACTATAGTGGAATGATGTGGCGGTCGATTCCTCCCATCCGCTCCGTGCTGATTCCGATTTGGTCCAGACTCGGTCCAGCCAGCACTCGGTCCCTGACTTTGTCCAGCCAGCACTCGGTCACCCGCGCTGCTGTCTTTTCTTTCTCTGGTCGCTGTGCAGGATGTCCTAGCGAAGGCCCTCCAGAACCACGGCAAGGAGGGCGGATCACGCGATTGGATTCACATCGCTGGCATGCGCTACCAGGTCACCAGACCGTCCCTGGGCGGAGACGGAAGGAGCAGATGGAGAGGAAGGAAGAGTAGACAGAGAAGGAGGATGAGTTACGTTGCATCTTCGGGGGGCCTCGCCTGTCCCCACAATGGGGGTCTTCTCTTGTGCCCGACGCGGACCCGATTCGGACTCCACGCGGATCTCGCGTTGATTGACGCGGATTCGACATGGATCCGACGAGTCTGACATGGATTCGACACGGATTCGACGCGGACAGGGCCGCGACGGGACAGACAAGGCCCCCCGAAAATGCAACATAAGAGGAGGACGACGACGACGAGGAGAATCAGACGGGTCAGATCGAGACCAGGAACATTCGCCAACCACTCTTGGCCATTTGTTGCACCGTGCGCGGACCATGACGAAGTCCAGGGGTATCCGGGTAACACTCGTGACCCTTGGCTGCATTGTGCGCCTCGCACATTCGGGGCCCACGTTTTGACGCTCGGTGTCTCGCCATGGCATTGCGAAGCGGGGCTCGTAGCGTTTGGAAGCCAGAATGTTGACGCTTCGCGCACCCCCACCAGCCCACTTCAAAACAAGCACTAGCCCATTTAGGCACAAACGCTTGACGAGTTGCCCTGATCAGGGATGCGTAGAGAGTCGTTGTCACGCCCTGGAAGCCTCATGGGGGCATTGCGTGGCCCCCTTGGGGCCATGTTGGAAGCCTTTGAAGCTCTTTTGGGGCCCTCCTGGGGGCATGAAGGGGCCTGTTGGGGGCCATCGGTCGAAGAAGGAGGGGTTCTCATTGTAAGTCCCCCCCCCTCGGAGGCCAACAAATTGCCTTTGGGGGGCGCTCTTGGGGCGCTCTTGGGCGTTCTTTTGGCCGTCGTGGGCCCCTCTTGGGTCTCTGTTTTGCCATTGAGGCCACTACGGCCCATCGGAAGCGAAAGTGCGAGAAGGCACAACAGATCATGTTCCATTCGTGTTGCAAGGACTTGGGCCCGTCGAGGAGTCTTTCGATGCCCGTCCATACCCACGTGTCTCACGATGCCACGTTTCTCACGATGCCCATACAGACCCACGGTTCTTGGAAGCCAAATTCTCTTGGCGTGCGAGGACAATCTCTTCCATGCCACTTGTGGAGAGGTTCGCAGATGGAACCATCCGTCCAGATGGGGCACAACCTCTGCAGCGGCGGAGTCAGCAGACAAGCGCTACAGGCTCGAGTAGTTGGAGAGACGGGTTCGGTTCATTCTGCTCCTTCTCCTTGCCCCTGGTCTTCTTCCGCTTGGAAGCGGCGGCGATGCTCCAGTTTCGGTGCGGCTGTGGGCGAGCGAGTGGGGAGAAGGGAGCGGAGCAGGAGGAAGAGGAGGAAGAGGAGGAGCAGGAGCAGGAGGAGGAGGAGGAGGAGGAGGAGGAGGAGGAGGAGGAGGAAGAGGGTGGAGGAGGAGGGGAGGAGGAGGAGAGGAGGAGGAGGAGGAGGAGAGGAGGAGGAGGAGGAGGAGGAGGAGGAGGAGGAGGAGGAGGAGGAGGAGGGGGAGGGAGAGGAGGGAGGGGGAGGAGGAGGAGGAGGAGGGAGGAGGAGAGGAGGAGAGGAGAAGGAGGAGAAGAAGGAGGAGGAGGAGGGAAGGGGGAAGGGGGAGGGGGGGAGGGGGGGGGAGGGGGAGGTGGAGGAGGAGGAGGAGGAGGAGGGGGGAGGAGAAGAGGGAGCGGGAGGAGGGAGGAGGAGGAGGAGGAGGAGGAGGAGGAGGAGGAGGGGAGGAGGAGGAGGAGGAGGAGGAGGAGGAGTATGGAGGGAGGTGGAGGAGGAGGAGGAGGACGGAGGGGAGGAGGAGGAGGGGGAAGGAGGAGGGGAGGAGGAGGAGGAAGGAGGAGGAGGAGGAGGAGGAGGAGGAGGAGGAGGAGGAGGCGAGCGCGCCCAGGCGCAGTGGTCGGATTTCAACATGTCCTGGGCCCTGCAGCGGGCCGAGGTGAACCTCGAGGCCGGGCCGCCCCCCGCCCTTAGTGGGCCCTGGAAACGACAGGGCCCCCTCCAGGCGGAGCCTCGACGGCGCCAGCGAGCGCACGGGGGGTGCCCACGAGGCGCCCGCGGCTGCCCACCGGGCGAAACCAGGGAGGCGACCGACGGAACGGCCTCGTTTCGAAGGGGCCCTGGGACACAACTAAATACATGCAAACAACATGAGTCCGCACATTTCCGCATCTGTTCTGGGTTTCGGTCTGCCCCCCCCCCTCAGTGGGCCCTGGAAACGACAGGGCCGTTTTGTTACCGATTCCGTTTTGCTGTTTTTGTTGCCGGTTCCGACGCCGTTTTTGTTCCGGCTCCGTCGCCGTTTTCTGGCCGGTTCCGGCTCCGGTTCCAGTCCTGGAGCCGTTTGTTTTTGCCGTTTCCGGTCGCCGTTTTTTTGCCGTTTCCACTTTCAAGGGGCGTTTTTTTGGAAACGGTGAAAAAACGGCCCTGCCGTTTCCGGGGCCCTCAAAGCCCCCGCCCCCCCGCTCGGGGCTCCGGAGGCGGGGGTCCACTGCAAACGGGGTCGTTTACCAGCCTGGAACATATCCCTATCCCTATGCTGGGCACCTCCTCATCACGATGCCAATCTTAGGGGTTCCCTTATTTTTTGAGGGCGAATCCCTAAGATGGTCATCGCCTTTTGGCGTGTCAATCTTACGGATAGGGATACGCTCGAGGCTGGTAAGTCGTTCAGAGCGCCGGATCTTGCAGGATCCTGCGTCTTGGCATCGCTCGGACGTGTGCGTTTTTTTCTTTTCTCGGCGGGGACCAGCTAGGAGCATCCTGGATCATCCTGCGAAAAAGCCACGCACGAAACCAATAACAACACAGGGAATGGACGTCCCAGCGACGGCCAGGCGTAGGCAGGTTTGCATTGACCCGGATTAGCGCGCCGGATCCTGCAGGATGTCGCGGGATCTTGCGAGGCCTGATTGATCCAGGACTGGATGGACCCGGGCCAGTCGATCCCCGCCCCGCGATGCTCCTGCCTTGGCTTCCTGCGCTGGCCGGGGGCCCTCCCCATCGCCACGAAGAGCACCGAGACGGCCCGTCTTATCGGTCCCGTTGCCGCTGGGGGCTTCGTTCGGGCCTCGGGACCACACATCAAGCAGTGGCGAGGCGTCCCGGCTTGCCTACAGGCCCACCAAAGAGTGTTCAGAGAGCCTTTTTTGGGGGTTGCACGGGATGTTCTCAGAACGGGTCTGGCTGAGACCGTCTTGGTTGGTTGCAAACACCGGCTCATCTTTATCTGAGAGCATTGTTTTGGTTCGCGGAGTGGTCGTGATGACATCGGAGTTCTGTTCTTATTCCGCTTCCTGCTTCTGCTCTTGGCCTTTCTCCAGCTCTTCGGCCGGTGTCTGGGAGGCATGGGTCGGAAACTGGAGCATATACATTACCAGTGGCGGGCGGTTTTCCAATCCCATGACTGTTTTTACCTAACAGCTTGTTCTGATAGGTTTCTAGTGGTGTCAAAAGAGAGCAGCAGATGACTCCACAGGGGGGTCTGGGCGGGTGCCGGACAGGGTGCCGCAGAAGTCGTTTTAAGCCAACAGTCACACACTTCGTGACTCCCAGAACTTCGACCTCCCAGAACTCCATTCCCGGGCCACATTCTGAATGCCCGGAGCCAACTGTAGGCCACTTCGTGCTCTTCGACTTCCCAGAACTCCATTCCCGGGCCACATTTTGGATGCCCGGAGCCAACTGTAGGCCACTTCGTGTCTTCGATTCCCAGAACTCCATTCCCGGGCCACATTTTGGATGCCCGGAGCCAACTGTAGGCCACTTCGTGCTCTTCGACTTCCCAGAACTCCATTCCCGGGCCACATTTTGGATGCCCGGAGCCAACTCTAGGCCACTTCGTGGTCTTCGAGTTCCCAGAACTCCATTCCCGGGCCACATTTTGAATGCCCGGAGCCAACTGTAGGCCACTTCGTGTTCTTCAAGTTCCCAGAACTCTACTCCTGGGCATGATTTTGAATGCCTGGAGCCAACTGTAGGCCACTTCGTGTTCTTTTAGTTCCCAGAGCTCCATTCCTGGGCCACATTTTGAATGCTGAGGCAGGCTGATGCTGCGGCCGAGGCAGGCTGAGGCTGAGGCAGGCTGAGGCTGAGGCCGAGGCTGAAGGCAGACTGAGGCTGAGGCTGAAGCAGACTGAGGCTGAGGCTGAGGCAGGCTGAGGCTGAGGCTGAAGCAGGCTGATGCTGAGGCAGGCTGAGGCTGAGGCTGAGGCTGATGCAGGCTGAGGCTGAGGCAGGCTGAGGCTGAGGCCGAGGCTGAAGGCAGACTGAGGCTGAGGCTGAAGCAGGCTGAGGCTGAGGCTGAGGCAGGCTGAGGCTGAGGCAGGCTGAGGCTGAGGCTGAGGCAGGCTGAGGCTGAGGCTGTGACTGCGACTGCCGTTGCCGCTGCGACTGTCATCGCGAATGCGACTACGACTGCGAGAACAGCAGAATTCTACAACTGGATTTTCATCTGAATCTTAAGGGGAATGCTTTCAGATATGCTTCTACACATCGCTGTTAGGTTGCTTTGCCGGGATAATCAGGGTCGGGGACGACGTCGGGTGTCCCGGCGGCTCCAAGAGGCCCCCAAGAGCGACCCGAGGCCGCCGAAGAGTCCCCAAAGAGGGCCCCTAGAAAACCAAGGTGGCGTCAAGACGGCCCAGGATGCGCCCAGGACGTCCCCAAAGCGTTCCGCAGCCATTGTGGCTCAAGCAACACCCCTGATATGACAGTAGACTTCTCGTTCCGTTGCATTTGTTCATCATGTTGTGGGTCGCGGTCACGGCGTTGTACCTCGTTACGGCTATGGCGTTGCGGTTCCAAGCGCCATCGCAGAATTCACACGATCGTGAGCGCAATACAAAGTTCAAAGCTGTAATTGTACATTGCGACAATCGGCCCCTGAATAGCAAGAAGCCTGCTGAAGTGAGGATTGAGGACATGCTCTTTGTCGAGTTGGCTTCTATGGTAGATTACGCCTACGCTCAGAAACATGGTTATGAATTTGCCCACTACGTGATGCCGCAGCGTGTTTCGCATGCGCGCTATGGTGAGCGTGAGAGTCCTTGGGGTAAGCTTCTTGTGTTAAAGCATCTTGGTAATACGTATCCTGACGTCGATCTCTTGATGATCCACGATTCTGACACCGCCATAATGGATCATGCACCAAGCCTTCCTGAATTCATGAATTCTTTCACGCCGTCCGAGTATGACCTCAAACATTGGGACGGTCACTCGGATTTGAACCAGCAGTGTTATCCCGTGACAGATGTTCGTACTGCCAAGCATCTGAAAGAGAAATCGGGAATCTGGTTGAACCAGGGATGCAAGGGCCATTGATTTTGGCAAAGCCTGGTCAGACGACGTCGGAGATCCTGAAAAAGGCATGGAATTACCCTTTTAATGGCCGAGGGAATGATGCATTCCCTTGGGAGCAAGCAGCCTGGGACCATCTGGCCATTGAGCGCACACCTGGCTTGATGATGATTGGGGGGGTGAATGTTACGCTGAACCCGGACCCTAAAGCCGCTCAGTGCCCCGCGGAAATTGAAGTTCCTGGTTTCAATACACACTTGTGCCATTTCCAAGATGACTCCATGCTGATGGAAGTTTACGGAGACTGGTCCGCAAGGACCCGGATTAGAGAAACACTTGGATGTGGAGCAGATTGGAAGAACAAGTGTAGGAACAGCTCGCTGTATGAGAAGAGCGTTTCTGATCACGACAGCCGCCATGGAAATCGCAAGATTTATTTGATCGCTTCGCTTACTCCGCCAGACCGTGTTGTGCAATCGCAGGCGTTTGCTTGCGCGTTCGTGGCATCTTGGGGCCTTTAGGGGGCCGTTCGGAGGCCTCTTGCAGGGCGCCGCCATGCGAACGCACCCATTGGGGCCCTCAGTGGAGCCCCCTGGGAGGCAGGAGACGTGTGCGGGGTGTGCCGAACTGGGCGGGGCGCCGCCATGCGGACGCACCCACTGGGGCCCTCGGCGGAGCTCCTCGGGAGCCACGAAACGTGTGAGGGCTACACCAGAATTGGCGCGGCGCCGCCGTGCGAACGCACCCACTGGCCGAAATTGGCGCGGCCGGGGCCCTCGGCGGAGCTCCCTGGGAGGCAGGTAGCGTGTGAGGAGTGTGCCGATATGGACGCGGTGCTGCTGCCATGGGGACGCACCCCCGGGGGCCCTCGGTGGAGCTCCCTGGGAGGCAGGAGACGTGTGAGGTGTTTGCGGAACTGGGCGCGGCGCCGCCATGCGGACGCACGGGGCCCTCGGTAGAGCTCCTTGGGAGACAGGAAACATGTGAGGTGTTTGCGGAACTGGGCGCGGCGCCGCCATGCGAACGCACCCATTGGGGCCCTCGGTGGCGCCTCCTGAGGGCCACGAAACGTGTGAGGGGTGTGCCGAAATGGACGGGCCGATGCTACCCACTGGAGTTCCTCGGTGGAGCTCCCTTGGGGGCCACGAAACGTGTGGGTTGGGGAGGAACAGGAGGAGGAGGAGGAGGAGGAGGAGGAGGAGGAGGAGGAGGAGGAGGAGGAGGAGAAGAAGGGGGAGGAGGAGTAGAGGAGCGGGAGGAGTGGGGACGCGGGGCGCTGTCTCTTCAAAACGAGGACCCAACTCACAGGAGGGTTGGGAATGATTTTGTTCTTTGGATGCCTCTCGGGAGGCCTCTTGGAAACCTCTTGGACCGTTTTGGCGGCCTTTTGGGCCGTCTTGAGGCCATCTTTGGCGGCTAGGGCGATTTTGGGGTGTCTCCGGCCCATCTTGGGACCGTCTTGAGGTATTCTTGGGCCCGTGTGGCCGCCTCTTCTGCCGTCTTCGGCCACCATTGGGGCCATCTTGGGCGCCTCTTGGCTGTGATGGGGCTGTCTTGGAGGCCTCTTGGGCCCTCTTAGAGCGTCGGAATGCCGAAAAGGCGAGAAGGATGAGAAACCCCAGAAACCTGTTGGAAAATCAATGATTTGTTGCC